CCCTTCACGGGCGTAGATAGAGAGGAAGAAAGAGAATCGTCGACGAGGACGACGCGACGCGTTTGCAAACGCTTTAATCCGCATTGTCCGTGCATAATTGAGCCCGTTTAAAACTGCCGTGCCAGCCGTAATTATTAAACAGCCGCGGGCACACAGCGGAGCGCGGGGCAAACGTTGGCCGCGTGCAAAAGGACCGATGAAAATCGCGCCCTGCCCCTTCTACTTTCGCGCGCGTGCGGCTAATGGAGTCGTCATTACGGCCGCAGTCGCGAGCGAGCTAATTAGCGCGGACACAATTCGCGGGAAATCCGCCGTCCGTTCGTTAGCAACCGACCGGCCAATTTAATGCGGGTCAGTGGCCCGTACGTTACAACGAATAATATTAATTAGTGATGCATTCGCGCGTAACGCGCCTTTACAGGCGCCGGCAACATCCAGGTCGGGCTGCTCTGGAGAAAGAGTTGAAGTTCAAGCGTTTGTCGAGACCTCACTCTCTGTACTTTTCTCTGTATAGCTTCGTGAAAATAATCTCTCCCTCAACCTATTTCCCATAGATTTACGTACTCTTAAAGTGAATCAGTGAATAATCACTGATATCAGTTATAAGGATAACACTGAGCAGTTTCAGTGCTATATTTATAACTGCAAATCAGTGTATATTTACTGTTTTCAGTGATATTTTACTGATTCGTTTTAGGAGAGTAAACTGCGCATTTTTATGAGAGGCTTGAAAACAAGATCGAAGGATTGCTACATTATCCACAGGCATGCTATCTTCATCTAGCTTTTTTTCAGTAGAAATCGAGCTAGAGAAAGATCAAGTAACTGCCTGCAGTAACAGGACATTCTTTTCTAATCAAGTCTCCGCTGCCTGTTGTGTGTTCACAGAGTCAGTTCTATCGCTTTCCGTGCGCTCAATCGCTCATATTGTTTGACTGATTCCTCAGTAGCTATTGCGAAGTTTAGCAAGATAGCATATGACTTTCCTGTATTCGTTTTGACCCGTTTTACTCGCACAAGATGGCTGTACCTTAAATTTTCAAGCACCCTGTATACATTGACTGCGCTTTCTTATGAGAGGTTTGAAGATAAGATTGAGCGATTGCTATATTGCCCTTCCACTGTCTGCAGACATGCCGTCTTCGTCTAGTTTTTTCCAGGAGTCAAGTTAAAAGATCGAATGGCTGCAGTAACAGAACATTCTTTTCTAATCAAGTCTTCGCTGCCTCTTGTGTGTCCGTCCTACCACTTCCCGTGCGCTCAAGCGCTCATATTGTTTGATTAATTCCTTAATAACTATTGCGAAGTTTGCAATATAGTACATAATTTCCCTGTTCGGAGTTTGACCCGTCTTACCTGCACAAGATGGTTGTACTTTAAATACCCTGTTTACATTGACTGCGCCTTCTTACAAGAGGTTTGAAGATAAGGTTAAGCGATTGCTATATCGCCCTTCCATTGTTCACAGACATGCTATCTTCGTCTAGCTTTCCTCAGTAAAAGCCAAGCTAGAAAAAGATCGAATACCTGTAATAACAGGACATCCTTTTCTAATCAAGTCTTTGCTGCTTCTCAAAGACTCAGTCTGTGTATACAAGTGATAGTAGATTCTTTAGACAAAATGAAACGTTTTATGTCCAAGTAAGCTTTCATAATTACCACGGCATGAGGTAATCGGTGATGGCAACTCTGCAATCTTTTAAATTGCTACACTACTTGAATGAATAGACTTTTTCCAAATTGCACTTATGAGAGAAATATATTACATCAATCCTTTAAGTGTACATACCACTTTGGTAATTCACTTTGCGTCTTCTCTGTGAACGAACTTTGTAGGCATGTCTAAAGAAAGATGACTTCTGAAAGAATTGCAGTTGATTCCTTAATAACTGTTTCGAAATTTGCAAAATTGCACATGACTTCCCTGTTCAGCTTGACCCGTTTCGCCTTGAATTGCCAGACACCCTGCACGAGTCTACCTATTGATCTCACTTGTTTCTCGCCTATTCTCGAACTCGCCGTGTTTTCCGAGTATCTTCGCACTACGATGCTCTCGGCACACGACGCGTGTGTGTATATATACATTATTTATAGTCCCCCGCGGCTACGCAATACGTTTTCATAGTCCGCGCGGGTGAAACACAAGCCAAATGCGCCGGCTTTCGCCACCCGATTCATATTCGCCGGATGACACGAGCGACGGAAGGCCGCAGAAGGCCGTTCGCAATCTCCGTTGCCAAAAGGTTCACCTTTACAACGCGCGTTTCGCCGGCACTTATTAATGGCCATCGTTGCAACCGAAGAGTCGTGATTTCAGATTCGGACGTCTTTCACTCGTCGATACAATTAACGGCGCGTTGAATTGCGAAGGATATCTCGAGGTGGTCCGAACGCGCGCGCGATGACCTGCCACTCTCTCGGCTGCATGTCAATGGAAGTTCTGCAATTAAAGCGGCAGAATACCGATGAAACCCGTGGCTATGGATCTTTGAGCGATTGGAGCTGGCTCAGACGGAGATCTCGGTGGATTCTCTCGATTTAATTGGAGAATCTCGATACCCGTCGCGTCGCAATCGTGGACTACTTGCGGCTTGTGCGATTTTGCCTTTGACGACTTGTCACCCTACCCTCTCCTTCCAACCTAGTCCACTCCATCGTCATATTTTCGTTTGCACCATCAGCATAAAAATATTTTTGGACGAAACCTTCCTGCGAGAGGAAGGTCTACATTGAGAGAAAAATTATCTTAAAATCAACAAATATTTCTTTTATGGCTGCCATTAACATATTTATTTAAATCTAAATTTTCTTTATTTAAACCAAATATTGTTTACTTAAATCAGGTAAACAGTATTTGATTTAAATAAAGAGAATTTAGATTTAAATAAATATGTTGATAGCACTCATCAAAGAAATGTTTATTGATCTTAAGATAATTTTTCTCTCTGTGTAGTTAGCGATATAAAGGGAAAATTATAGTACTTCGGGTACCGCGGCTTCTTCGGATATACTCGGCTTTATATCCATAGACTGCGCATTTCCATTGGAGAGCTGGAATCAGTATTAGTAGGAAACAATAGAGAATAAGATGCTATCCTTGTCTAATTGTCTAGCTGATGGAAAGAACAAAGGAAGAAAAGCGATCACACGGTCAATGTCATGGCACGTCCTTTTTTTCCTTCACTAGGTTTCACTCTCTCTGTTTCTTACAGTACTGTGAGACAGAGATAGTGCTTTACTCAGTATATCTCTGTCCTTTACTCCTGTCTTCAGCCGATTCATAAGAATGCGCAGTTTATCTCTATATCTCTGCGCTTGATACCAACTCACGTTGGAACCGTGACATTTGCAACTGAAGCAGTATCTTTGAGAGGGTTTGCTGCGTCAATATATTCTAAGACGTACACAAACAAAGTAAGCATTCGTGTGAATGATGGCGCAATAGACCTTCTTATGTGAGAAATTTGAAGACAAAATATAGAGAACAGCTATGTTCCCCCTCCACTGCCCATAGACATGTTATTTTCGTCGTACAGCAAAACATTTACGCATCAGTCCTTACTATGCTTCACTTCCCGTCAGCTTTCCCCAGTGGGAATCAAGCTAGACAAGATCAAATGTCTGTGACCAAGCTATATCATTTTTCCGTACACAACACCTCCTTACTTAATTTAATTTATATACTTCGCGTACATATTCTTTTTATATCGAGAGTTTGCATTGAGACGTCTCTTGTTTATTTATCGTCATCAGTTCATCGAAGTTGCAGTCATATGATAAAAGCGCTTTGATGGAACGTGTATCAATCGGCTGCCGAGAAAAACGTACACTTTGACATTTCGTTCCGTTGATGAACTATTTATTAACGCTTTAACTTCTCGCGGCTTTGAAAGAGCTGGGGAAGTCGGGAGTCTCCCGAGGAGTTTCCGAGCGTATACATGCTCTTGAATTTTGAAAGCATTTTATTCTGAGATGTGTCGTCGCAAGGCAATAGCGATCGCGAGAGAGATCGGTATTGCGAGCAGTGCTGACACGTCACGCCGCACTCTCTTAAGGGGACTGGAAAGTCAGATTGCCTGGAAATCGTGCTTGTTCTTTCATAATTTTTTATGACAAATTGAATGAATGTGCAAAAGTATTATTTTAACGTGTATTTATACAACATAAAGAGAAGAAAAATATAATTTTGATGATCGAATACTCAATATAAGTGTATGGTACATGCAATTAAAATATATTTTGTTTTTCTTTTCAAGATCGTCATTTTGCAGTAATATCTTGACTCTCAGTGGTTCAATTAAGCTGAATTTTAGAAAATTTCCGAAAGCTTATCGTTATCGTGTGAACCACTGACAAAAACTCGTGAAAATATTTAATTTTTGAAATATTAATTTTTTTACTATAAAAGAACTGAAAATTTAATAATGTTTCATTAAGATATTTCTAATTTTATTAACTTTTACTTAATTTCTATTACAGTGGTTTACACGATAACGACAAGCTTACGGAAATTTTCTACCTAAAATTCAGCTTAATTGAACTACCGAGAGTCAAGATATTACTGCAAAATAACGATCTTAAAAAGAAAAACGAAATATATTTTAACTGCACGTACCGTACACTTATATTGAGTATCTGATCATCAAAATTATATTTTTCTCCTCTTTATATGTTGTATAAATACATGTCAAAATAACACTTTCGCATATTCATTCAGTTTGTAATAAAAAATTGTGAAAGAACAAGCACGATTTTCAGGCAATCTGACCCTCCAGTCCTTTTAAAGTGAATCAGTTAATTGTCACTGACATCAGTTATAAGTATAGTACTGAGCAGTTTCAGTGCTATACTTATAGCTGCAAATCAGTGTATATTTACTGCTTTCAGTGATGTTCCACTGATTCACTTTAAGAGAGCAGGTTGCGGGAACGGCACTGACATTACGACCGTGTCGTGAACGACCCCGGTTAACGCCCACCCTCTCGTGTTTTTTGTTTCAGTGCGTATTGTACCTGTGGGCGCTGAAACTGTGCCATCCGACCACACTCTTCCTCCTCAGAGGTAACCACGAGTGCCGTCATCTCACGGAATACTTCACATTTAAACAGGAATGTAAGTAGTTCTCCTTCTTATTCCTTTCTGTCTCTAAACAAAAGCGTATCAAGATACTGAGATATTCATTCAACAGGAATTAATTTTGACCAAAAAGCAGGCAAAGATGTTGAGAGCGCATAATAATTTCTTGTGGGACGGCAAAAATATCAACGATGTATCGCGCGCGCTGAGACATTTCCTTAACATTAATTGTACGTGAGGTATCAGTCACCTTTCGCTGTTATTACTCTCTTAAAGTAAATCAGTGAAACATCATTGAAAGCAGTGAATATACGGAGAAAAATAATTTTCTGGCCCAACAAATTTTCTGCTGGTCTAAAATCTTTTCGTTATTATATGGACAGTAACAAGATTTGTTAAGAGTACTAATCATTATTTGTTGAATCTACAAATTATTTCGCTATAAGAACTACAATGAATTTATATAAGTAGTTGCAGTTTTGCTGTGATAGCAAATAAATTTGCTAAGAACACATTATTTTGCATCAATAGCAAATTAACGTGATTCTTAGGACAAATACACTCAACAAATTTGTTTTATTCTGGCAACGAAACTACTTCTGCTCTAATAACGAATAATTTATAAAATTAGTTACGTCAACTAAATTTTTTTGATGTCACTACGAATATGCAGTACCAACTATGCTTTTGCTAAAAGAGCAAAATTATTTTTTTTCGTATATACATTGATTTGCAGTTATAAGTATAGTATTGAAACTGCTCAATGCTATATTATAACTGATATCAGTGTCTGATTCACTTTAAGAGAGTATCTTCCCTTATTGACCACTTATTGGGCAAAATTAATTCTTTCTTTAATTCATTATCCTTCTCTCAAAGCGTTGAACCATCGTACGTATTAATTAGTAAGACGCGAGCATGTCCACGTGGAGGTTGCGGAGAGTTTTTGCTCTTGCTTTAAAAATTTGTACGCGGTTAAAAGGCCATCCTGTCCCGATGCCGAGGTCGAAAATGTGTGTTTTCCGCGGCGCTGAATTTTTCATTCGCGCCTGCCGCCGCGCGTGAGCCTTTTACTCGTGTGCCGCGCCTTGTTTCCCGCCGTAATAAGAAATTATTTCCTGTTTAATAATTCGCGACTCGGATTAAGTTCGCCGCCTCGTTAGTTATGGCGCGCGCGCGGTGTTGTTACAGCGGAATTTACGTGCAACACAAGGTCCTTTCGTGCGCACGTACTGTAATTACGGGGCCTCCAAGGGACAAAAGTGGGACTGTCGAGCAAGAGAAGACAAACCGCGGTAACTTCGACTCGCGCAGACAAGTAATCCGCATAGAAATTTCTCAAGATTTTCCGAGATTTTCCAAGACAGATGATGCATTTCGATCAGAATAGTCAAATTTCTAAAATTGTTTATCCTACTATTGCATCAATTGAAAATCCCACTTTGGGACAACTAGCCCCGATCTCCTCTACTAAGGCAACTCACACTTTTTCTCGATCAGTAACGTCGGCATATTTTTACGATATCAAAGAGAGATTCCCATTTTTCAACTATTATATATTCAGTAGAATAAAAAATCGAAGAAATAATATTTCTTAATATGTATTTACTTTGGATAATTTAAATCAGTATTTATTTTGAATATTTTATTGAATAAAATATAATTATTTGGAAAAATTAATATGTATTTTATTCAATTCCAATATAAAACGTAGACCAGAAAGGATAGGATCACTTTGGGTTTTTCATTTAGAATCACATATTTGAAACATTCATTATGACACCATAATTCTTTTGCGGTATCGGACTTGATCTTAATTTAATCCCATGAAATTTTCTTTACGGAGATCTACGCGATCCTGCGTCGCGCGACTGTCACGAAGATTCCGCAGCATCAGCAAGATGTCATATTTATGCTTTGCAATGATCGTAACACCGCAAGAGAAGCCACGCTAGCGACTCTGTAGCCGGCAGTAGCAACGGGCGCAACGAAAGTCGAGATTCGGGCGATAACATGGGACCGTAATATCGACCTCGTGATCCTCTCGCTAAGCTCCCACGGACCACGTGTATAACCTGGTGTCGGATAAGTTACGAGATCGTAAAACGACCGACCCACACTCGAAACACACACACGCATACAAACATCGTGGCGCGTTATGTTCGCGGAACCAACGGAGACATTCGGCGAGCGTTCGCCGTGTTCACGGGGTTCGCGTAAGTTCCAGTTTGCAGTTACCCACGTATCGTACACCATGTATGCTCCCCGTCGGCGGATTACGTTCGCAGTTCGCGGCGGCCGCACGCGAATCCCGTGTACGCGCTATACGTCGCGCCATTTATCCCCGCGGGGGCGGAGATACCGGGGGATCTAAATTCGCGGGGCACTTAATATCGGACGCGCATAGCTCTGCCGTAATTCGTCCGACCGAGCCGCATCCTCCGCTCTCCCGTGGAATATGCATCGCGCATTAGGCAAATGAGATTCCGCCGGCGTGAAAAAGCGCGCAGAGAGCTAGTGAGCGCGCGCGCGCGCGCGCGTTTAGCACAAAACACACCTGCGTAACAACAACGCGTCTGCCGAGTGTCGTCGCCTCCTTATTTCCTCCGAGACATCCCCGTCGACATCTGAGCTCCCCGGCGACGTTCAATCTCGCTTTAATCTCGCGCCTCGAATCCTCGCCGCGGAGAAGCGGGGACGACGACGGCGTCGTCCTCGGCGCCTGCCGCATGCGGGAAACGGCGTCGTGCATCACGCTCGCGATCTCCCGTCATACCAGTCATAATGCGTCGCCGTCCGCCGGCTGCATCGTAAACGTTATAACGACGCCGCGCGGCGAGGGGCCGCGGGGAAAAGTGGAGGACGAGGAGGAGGATGAGGGGCTCGCAAATACTCACAGGCTGACCTAGTATCGGACAATTTTCCGCGATCGATACACTTTTCCGCGAGACACCGCGCCAGCTTCTGCTGTGTCTCTCTGTCTCTCTCTAACTCTCTCTCTATCTCTCTCCTTCTCGCCTTCCTCTTTCTTTCTCTCCTTTTTTCTTCTCTCCAAAAACCAAAAAGAATTTCAGAAAGATTTTAAAACGTTTGAAAAACAGAAATTTTGTGTAAGATTTTCTTGCGGGAAGAGGAGATATTTAGATTAGAGTATCTCCAAAGTTTTCTCCAAATTGGCTTTCTCTCTCCCTCTCTCTCACAACAATTTGAATTAGGAATCCTATCATTATTCCAAAAATAGACTTCTCTGCCTATCGGAACAGACATATTTTGGCAAATCGCGATCTTTTTACGATCTTTCTACGATATTTTTACGATATTTTGATATACTTTTATGATATCAAATAGGAAAAATCTTATTTTTATACCAGTTATTGTATCAAACAGAGTAAGAAATAAAAAATATTTACTTTTGAAACACTTGGAGTGTTTTTCTCTGAATAATGCAGTTTAGAAAGCCAACATATGTTTTGTTTAATTTTAATATAAAATGAGAACCAGAAAAAATATTAGCTCTGGATTTCCCATTTAAGCTCGTATGAATATATACCGTCTAAAATTTGTCTCATGCGAAGCTCTGAGGTCTTTATTCAGAGTTAAATACAAATTTTTCAGTTGAGTTATGACAGATGACCCGTCCAGTAATCGAACACTCAGTGAAAATGAATAAATCACAGTGAATTAACAGTTTGCAATATTTATTGTAACATTATGGTATATGACGCACTTATAGTATATATGAGTAACTAGAGATAACTCACAAGTTGTGTGATCATCTCAAAAAGTTGCGCCGCAGAAGTTCAACCTGGCCTGTTCGAAGTCATTGGAGTTTGGCGCTTAAGTGTTCATTTACAAGTCTTAAATATTCATTTACTGGACAGATCATCCTATATACGACATTTAATCGCGCTTCTGTTAAAGAACTGTCATCTGACTTTATACTCAGATCCGAATATCTTATGCTCAAGGCAAGTTTCAAGTAATAACTATTAGTATGGGTCTAATAGTCGTCATTCGAAACTCCTCTCGAAATGAGATACTCAGACTTGAGTTCAGAGACGAGAGATGAGAGTTTCCCGGTCGAATCGCGATTACAGATATAATGTCACATACATTATATAATTCAGTGGAACAATTTGGATCTAACTCAGTGTAAAAATCTGAGTATCTCGCATAAGACCAGTTTCGAGTGACAACTATTGATGCGATCCTTAGAATTGCATATTTAAAACATCTAACCAGAGCCCACAATTATTTTGGGGAATCAGACTGGATCTCAAGTAGATCCCTTCGATATCTTCAATGCGGGAACGCATTCGCGTTTGTATTTATCGTCGTAATAAACGCGACCGCGCTTTAAACCCGGCCAGATGATACTTGAACTTCGCTCGGTTCGCATCCGCTAAAGACGGACTTTTATGCGTTATTAAACGTTTTACACAGTCTCGTTGCGTTTCATTCGATCCGTATCGCTTCGCTTTATATCCCGCGCTTATAACCCTATTATTAAAAAAGCCATTCGCGACTTGCCAGCACGCCTACGACGACCACGAAGGGAACGAAGGTAGACTCGCGTTTCATTTTTGCGCGACCCGTAAGAAAGAGAGAAAGAGCCCGTGTCGAAATTTTGATGCTACTTTGACGCTCTTAAGGATAGTTTGCGCCTATTTAGACGATTTATAGCCTAGGTAAAACCTACTTTGACCATATTGATACTCATTAACTTCTCTCTTAAACTTTTAACTCTACCTTGTCAAAATTTTAACGCTACTTTGACGCTTTTAAAAATAGTTTGAGCCTACTTAAGTAATCTACAACCTAGGTGAAACCTATTTTGACGATATTGACACTTATTTCCGAGTCAAAATTTTGACTCTATGTTAACCTTAAATTCTATAAAATACATATATTCTATGTGGGAACTAAATAGCTTCAATATAGGTTCGCAACTAAACCTACTTTACTTCCTAAGATCTTACTATTATACAACCTACTTTGACGCTAAAGAAAGCGAAAGCGAAAATTTCAGACATCAT